ATTTACAAATATACCCTTTAAAAGTCAAAATATGGGTTAGAAGAGATGAATAAATGATAAATAAAGTAAAACAAATAAAATAAGGAGATTAAGTAAGAAATAAAGTAAATATAAAATGAATAGAATATATAAAATAAAAAACAATAACACTAATATATGCACAACAAACAACTAAATAAAAATAAAATGATAATGCAAATAAATAAATAAAACAAGTAAAAGAATATAAAAACATAAAATATAGGATAAATATAAAAATAGATAAATAAATGAGTAAATATATAAAAACGTAAAAGCATATATATATAAGTAAATAATAATAAAAAAAGAAAATCAAAAGTAATATACGTATATATACATGCAAAATAGGAAATATATAAATATATATATATAATAACACTAATAAAAAAACATATATACATATATAATAAAATTAATAGAAAGTAATATGCATATATAACAAGAATAATAAAGTAGGAAAAAAAATGATTTAGGGGGGAGAATTAAATATTTTAAAAAAATGAACACGCCTCGGGGGTGGATCTAGGTTCGAAACTTCGAAATCCCACCCCTTTTTAGTCATCGGCGCAACCCACGTTTTGGGTTATTCGAACCAAATCTCAAGAAAAATAACGTGCACATGCGAGAAATGAACGAACCAATGTAAAAAAAAAGATGCTACCTTTTATTTCCTTTTCGAATCGTTTACAACAACTTTGCCTTTGTATTTTCCGTGCTTTCCTCTGTGTTTTGTGTGTAAATCATGTCTTACAATGGTGAGTTACAATGGCTATTTATAGTGCTTGTGGATCCTATCTTTAGGAATTTAAATAATAGTAGAACTCTATCCTATTTTTAGGAGTTTGAATCCTAGCAAAATTTTATCCTATTTTTAGGAGTTTGAATCCTAAAATTCTATCCTATTTTTAGGAGTTTGAATCCTAGTAGGACGAAAAATGTGTGTTGACAGCGGGCTAGGAATGTAACCCTGCGGGCTCGGAATGTAACCTGGCGGGCTAGGAATGTAACCCTACGGGCTCGGAATGTAACCCTGTGAAGATGGCATATGAACTGGTGGGCTTGGCATATGAAGTGGAGGGCTGGGCATATACCCCTACGGCATCGATGGATAAGGATGTTGTGGTGGGACTGATGCAGAACCGGTAGCGCCTTCTCTCCGTCCACGCGTCGGGGGACGATGATATTGAGACGGTTGACGTCTTTCTCGGTGCCTAGGAATGTTAACCCCTCGTGCTTCCGCCGAAAGTAGAAACAACTTCCCATTTTCATTAAACCAGTCCATATAGTTATCCGTAACCATATGACCAATTTCAGCGTAATATTGTAGAGGGGCCAACAGTGTATATCGGTTCTCCCAAAGCGCAATCCAATCTCTGTGTCTCACCACCCAGTTAACCTCTTTCTTTCCTCGTCTATCTATGTTATGCACGTCGTCTAAATTCCTAGGTGCTCCAGGAATATATTGCGTACAACCATACTTACGGAGCACACGATCAACTGGATGCCACTCAATAATAGCATAACATATAAGAGGTATAACCGATATCCATACCTCTAATGACCCACTAAGGTGGGGTGGGTTGCAAGCCTTCACTTCATCGCTCGCATAAGGTATCTACTGAAACTGAAATATAAATATACAATTCAAATAAATAAAATATTCTAATTATATCTAGCATTTTAAATTAAAATATTAATATTTAAACAGATTTAAAAACATACCTCAGACCCAGCTTTCGTATCAATAAGTAAACGAATTTCCTCTAACCGAGTAGGTATACTTTTATGGTTCTTTCTTTTCATCGACCACCTATGAAATATAATATAAACTAAATATCACCCTATTTAATTAAAAATATTTAAATCAAAATTTAGTTTGAAAATTACCTCAACAATAAGGGGAATACGTATGGTTCATTCACGACCGGGCATAAAAAAGGCATGCAGAACCACGCCCATGATTGTAGAAGCAGGAGACATCCACCGATAGCAGTTTTCTTATAATTCGTCGCCCCACACATTTCTCTAAAGAGAAATGCCAAAACTGCAGCGCCCCAACTATATCTTCCAGCTTTATCAAAATCGATCAGATGCCGCAACCACATACAATGCACCTGGTTGCGAGATTTGTCGGGGATCAATATTCCTCCAATTATTCGTAGAATATATGCCCGAGCACATGCCTTTGCTTGATCCTCTGAAGCATTTTCATTTAAAACCTCAAAATTAGCTTTCAACAAAGATAAAGTTGTTCTACCTCCATTAAACTCTGGCGGAGCAGCTCCAAGATAATCAATGCACATTGACTGCCAATCACAATCCGCCATACCACACATCATATTTCCGTCGACGGGAAGCCCCAGATGTATAGAGACATCCTCCAATGTAATTGTGGCCTCTCCACATGGAAGGTGAAAAGTGTGTGTTTCGGGCCTCCACCTCTCAATCAGTGCAGAAATTAGGATAGGTTCGAGTTTGCAACCGCCAATAATTGTTGCAATATACCCGAACCCGGCAGAAGCCAAATATGGCAAAATACGTTCCGGTGTCGGTATACGTGGATTTTTAATAAAAGTTTCTAAAATACGACAGTATCCTAAATAATATACATTATAAAAAATTAAAATTAATATAAATTCATAATAACTTTAAAATAAAAATAAATTTAAATATTAACATTAATTATAAAAAATATTACCATATCGCTAAAATGTCTGGAGTTATGATCAATATCCAATCGCAGCAGCATTTCGTTTTCCATTATAACTGTAGACAAAACAATATAATTAGCACAAAAAATTAATAATTCTAAATAAATAATAATTATATAAGTATTATTTTAATAAAAAATTATATTTATATAAATATATTAATATAAAATATAATAACTATTTAAAAAAATACTAACATAAAAATAAATTTCTTACCACTAATAACAAATTTAAAACTCAAATAGTTAGAGAATTTGAGTTATATAAGAGAGGAGAATATGATTTTGGTGTGAAGAATGAGGGAGGGTTGAGGGGGTTTATATAGGGTAGGAGGAGGGGTAGTTAGGGAAAACGGATGGGGGCATTTATGGCATTTAATGGAAGGCACGTCCCCGGGGTTGCGCCTTCCACACGTGGTAGTCGAGTCATCAGAATCCCGTGAAGGCGCGTCCCCGGGGATGCGCCTTCCACGCGTGGCATCCAACTCAGCGAAAACCCGAGTAAAGCGCATCCCCGGGGATGCGCCTTTCGCCAGTTCAGCCGAAAGGGTGTCACTTCGGGAAATATATATCAAACGGTGCTAAAAAGGTAAATATTCAATTAAATAATGACAGTTTGGTCAAATCGCCGATATGTACTTGTTCAAAAAGTGGCCGTTCAAAGCAACCAATAATATAAACCCACGTGGCCCCACTTGATTGGTAAGAAATTCAGCGCCATTTATACCCCCATCTCATGTATTTAATTACTTTAAAACCAGTCGATCGCGAGTTAGGTAGTGTTCAACTCATGTTAGTTAAAAAAAAATTTGTAGTTCGATTTAACTCGTTGCTTGATAAGTTTATTAAAATTTTGCCCGACTCGTATTTTTTAAACTCGTTGCTCATTAAGCTTGTTACTCGTTTCGTTGCTCATTAAGCTTGTTACTCGTTTCGTTGCTCATTAAGCTCGCAAAATTTTTTATCTTATTTTTTTAACTATGAGTAAAATCTACTAATACTATATATAGCTTAATATAAACGTAAATTGATAAATTTAACTAAAAATTATGAAAAAAAGTGTATGAAACGAATTTAAAGTCTAAACTCCAAAAAAAATCCAAAATACATTAAGTAATTATTATGGTTTAATTTTCGGTGTAGTGAAATAATAATTATTAATTAATAATTTAGTACTTTTATTAGAAATTTAATAAATTAATCATTTATTATCTATTAATAAATTAGTATTTTTTAAGGAAATAATTTTTTAAGATAAGTAGTAAAAGATTATAAAAAAATATCGAGTCGAGTTAGACTTTATTCGACTCAGCTCATTAAAATCTCAAGTCGAACTTGAATTTAAATCAAACTTTTATCGAGTTCAAACTGCTCCACTCATGAAATATCCTCTCTTAAAACCTTAAAAAAAATCGCAATTTTCTTTCTACTCAGTTAGGTCTCAAATAGGGCCCAATCCAAGCCCCGATTATGGAATCCGCGGTTGAGTTTCATATTTGAAGACTAGAATGCCCGTTGTTTTTTAAAATATCATCTTCACATTAAAAAAAGGGGGGTTTGAATCAGCCTAAAGCCTTGATTTCATCAAAGTTCCAGGTACAATGGCTGTCCTTTTGAGACCCTAGAAATTTAAGTAAAAAAAAAAAACATGTTTAGGACGCATTTGACAATGACATGCCTACCCTACCTGAACTACTTCGAGATGGATTGAAAAGTGTGCTAGAGTGATCGTTTCTTATATAATTAAAAAAATTATCGATAAATTATTTTTTATCTATTAAAATTTTATAAATTTACATCATAAATATAAAATTATGCGATCCTTTCTTTCTTCGTAGCAAGTGACATTACGTGGTTGTCAACATGATTATCCCAAAGCTACTCCTACCTGCTCAATTGCTCATCATCATGTCATTGACCACCCTTTGAAGAAAACTTGGTAATTTCTCAATAGGTTAATAGAGAGGAAATCATTTAGAAAGAACACCATAATTTGCAACTGCCCATATTCCCCTCTTACTTGGTTTCAGCTTATTGAAAATGAAAGGATTAAAGAAAATATTCCAACTAATCCATATTATTTGCAAATCATGGATTAATTCAAACCCAAATTCGAGCTCCTTCAATGTCTTTTGATTATGACTCTATGGAACGTTTCCGCTTTGACCTCTGCGCAGGAACAAGCTGCAGATGGAAGCATCCAGGATGCAGAAAGCAAAGCCAGCGACGACATAATAGAAAGCAAATTTGCTTACAAACTATGTTCAATTCATGAATTAATACATATGTTGAGCTCAACTAACAGCTCATAATTTCATTTTTTTTTTAAAACACCCCAACAATTGTTCCTTTTTTGTGCACTTCATCACTTTGTATGCAGGGCATTATCCACTGCAGTGAAAGAAGCACCAGGGCAAGTGGAAATCACCACCGTCTGACAATTAGGAGATCTCGAGTCATCAGGGCTTATGGATCTTGAAGCCAAAAACTCTCGGGACGTAATTTTGAGTCAACTTTTGTGGCTTCAAGTGTCCATATGTCATTAGAAATAGATGTGGAAATGTAGTCCCGAAATAGGCTCCATCAATATCTAGTCAAGTCAAGAAAATTAAGCATGCATCCATGATTTGGTAAAAGGAAATAGGGAGAACCAACAAGTCATACATACCAATGTTTGGTTCTGCCTACCCAGACAAAAAAGATACAAGACCTGCAAACCCAGAGACGTTGTTAAAGGGCATTTGGAAACATGTAACTTCTCCCAAAAATTGACCCAAGGAAGATAAATTCATGAGCGTGGCACTCTATCATCTGCTAATTTCATAATGTTGTTCATCAGAAAAAATCCTTAAAAACTTTAAGAATCTACAAAATCCTACAGGTATCATAACTTTTTGGACGTGACAGGGGATATATTCACACTGCAGACAGAAAATGGCAACATAGCAATGACGGAAACTAATAGGGTGTCTCCCTCTAAAGTAGATCAAACTATAAGTAACTTACTTAAAAAATAAATAAAAATTCCAAGTAATTTCTTCTTTTTTTATTGATATCAAATTATAAGTAATTTCATGTGGCTTACTCGGGGACAATTTTAATATACAAAAGGAAGGGAGTTCAAAAGGCAAGTATATGATTAATTTAAGTAAGAAGTAAGTAGAATGTGAGTCAGATGCCACAAGGGCAATATAGTATAGAAGTCAAAGTATAGGTATTTTAATTCTCCATAAATAGACAGTGAAGTAGTGGATGAAATAAAAAGGATACTGCCTTGATATTTGGATCGAGGATAGTAAATATCTTCGCATTTTGGACAGAAGATTTTCACGGTACTTGAACGAGGGATATCTGACTGACCAACAGGAAGACAATGTTGTCCAGAGCAGTAGACTCTCGGGCATCTCCCGAAGTCATATTTTTTGTATTTCTCCAACTGAAATAGGATTGCAAGTAGAATTTTGAATACAAGGTGTGAAAAAGTCAACGGAGAGCAAAAGAGTGAACAATTACAGCAATTTTACCATGGCAGACATTCCCTTGCTGGTTAATATGTAACGGACATGTATAAGACCGTACAACATCTCAGCTGCCGATTCAACCAATTCATTCTGCTCTTCAGTGAACATATCACCTATAAAATCCAAAAGACGTCTACTTAATAGTAAGAATGAACGTGCATGGATGGCTGATGAGTTGATAGAAACAAAAGTAGGAGCCCTACTTTAAAACAATAAAAAAATGATATTCAAAGCAAACTGGCACACACCACAGGGATGATGCAAATAATTAAAAAAAACAGAAAAAATAGGTAAATATATAGCATTAAAATAGAAAACTACATGTTCAGATACGCTAAATGAAATACAGAGACTTTGAAAACCTCTCTTCAAAACTGGTCAGAATTTGGAAGTAATAGCAGCACCATGAGTGAATATCAACTCATCAAATTTTGTATACTGCAATGAGAAAGTGCTTACCATGGGAAGATTCAACATCCAATATTAAATCGAGCGCATAGTCGTAATATGGAACTTGACTGCTCAAACCACAAAGATTAAAATCATCCTGGATGTAGTCATCGTCAACTTCACAGAAAAACTCATTGCCTCGCAAATTGCAAAACCACGAGATCCAAGACGTGTCATCTCCATCAGAACCACTAGCATCTGATTCTTCACTCTCTATTTCAGACTCCTCTGCAATCCAGGACAATATTAACAGATAAATAAGAAGAACTTCACATTTAATAGTTAAAAACCCAATGCTAGCTTACCAAGGACATATCACAGCACATGAAACTTATTATGATATCAAATAAGAAAGGCTTAATGCCTAAATAAGTGCCCAAACTATGCCTTTTTTGCCAAATAAGTGCCTACGGTTTTTTTACCCATCCGGGTACCTAACGTTACAAACGTTTCCCTTTTAGGTGTTCAGGTCGTCAACGCCGTTAGTTTTCCCTGTTAAGTGCCACGTGTCAACACCTGATAATTTTGAAATTTATTTTTTTTATAAAAAATATTATTATGTTTATAAAAAAACCTTAACTTTTCTTATATTATAAAATAACCCAAAATACTAAATCCTAACCTTAATCCGCTGCCGGCTCCTTCTCCAGCCACCACCGCCTTCACCGACATAGTCCTTGATATCATCCTAGCTATATGCCTTAGTTGTCATCGATTCACTGTCAAAATCACGTGAGATCACGATTTTCATCCTATGGTTCGTGAGATTTAAAACGTTGATTTGTGGTCGATTGATCGTCAACTGGTCACGATTTCATAGGGGTTATGGTCACAGAGGGTAGGGGCGGCCGCGTGGAGCTTCTTCGACGGTAAAGGGTGGCGACGTGGGTTTAGGGGTTGAAATGAAAGTTTTTAAAGTTTAGGGGTTATTTTGAAATTTATATTTTTTCAATTTTAAAATATATAATTTTATTTTTTAAAATTTTATATAAACTTTTAAAATTACCCGGTGTTGACACGAGTCACCTAACGGGAAAACTAACGGCCTTGACAACCTAGACACCTAAAAGGGTTCAATTGTAATGCTAGGCACGGATGGGGAAAAACCGTAGACAATTATTTGGCACAAAGGGATAGTTTGGGCACTTATTTGAGAATTAAGCCAATAAGAAACGAACAAAATCTAGGCAATGAATCAAATTTCCAAACATCCATACATGGAAACACAAGTATAATTGAATAAAACCTACCAACAACCTACTTTCAGCAAGCCACGCTCTCAAGAATTTGACTTTCAAAAAATGCACACTGGAAATGGAAAAGGCTAAGTACGAAATTGTGCAAATAATCATAGCTAATAAAGAAGTTAAAATTATTAAACACTTTTCACATACAAATACACAAATGCATCAGCTCAGAGCTGCCGACGAACGCTGACAAACCCAGATCCTACCAAATCAAATTGGCTCGAAAATTAATCGAATGCATCAGCAAATGCACGATTCGTCACATGTTAATCACCGGGGTTAAAAGAGAAAGCAGAAACGAAGAGGGAAAGTGACAGATAAGTAACTAACCATCACATTTGGCTTTGGAGAGAGCTGCGGGGCGTGAATCACGATGATCAAGCTGGGATTTACCAATGGAAGTTGAAGGAACAGGGGACCTTTCTTTGTCTTCTCTGTTGAAGTCTCTCGAAGTGGACGGGGACGACTTATCTAGCTGCTTGTCCAGCGCATCGTTTAAGCGCTTCCGATCCAACGATCCTCCTACCAGCTCCGATTTCGACGACCCTCCTCCTCGATCCCTATGACTGTACATATCTTACTGTTGTTGTTGTTGCAATTATTTTTCACCACCCAAATCCCAAAACCTCCGAATTTTTTTCCCTGACAATGGGGAAAATTCAGGCTTTTAGGAGAGGAAACCCCGGAATTGAGACATATATATTATTAATGGTGGGACGAGGAAATGGCGGCCGTTTTCTTATAGAATTTGAAAAGGGAGGACGGCTAAAAGGAAGAGGGTAGAGCTAAAGCGATAGATGAATATGAAAAACTAGGGTTTTCGAATAAGAAAGGGAGAAACACGAGGTCCTCAATGTGCTTTCTTTGTGTCCCTCTTGTTCTCTTGCCCTTTTGCTTGGTGGTGCTGCTGCCTTCGATGAATTTTTCAATCCCTCTTCCTTCGAGATCATTTTTGTTGCTTAAAAATCATTTTCTTGGATGAGAAGGCGTCAATTCCAATACCAGGCCCTTGAATTTATTTGTTGTATAAATTAGTAATTGAGCTTAATAATTTCTTTCAAATTGGTACTTCAATCTTGTTTGGATATTGTTACTTGATATTGAAATAGTTTTTCTTAAATTTATATCTATTAAACTCGATATCTCAATATTCAACTGTGATACGTATATTTAGGAGCTGTTTAGGAATGCTTATGGAAGTGTTTTTAGTCTAAAAATTCGTTTGAAACGTAAAATCAATTTCAAACCGCTTATTTTTAATTAAAATTTGACGTTTGAAAAGTGATTATTGACTCAAATTAAGAAGCTGAAAAAAATGATACTTTTACTTTTGAAAAACTCATTCGACGAAGCATTATCAAACAAAATATTAAGTGTATAAGATATTCATCTTTAAAATATTTATGAATTTAATATACATATTTTAAAATTTGGGTACTCTATAATGTAGCACTCTTACCTCGACTGAAAGTTTATTCGAACAAATGATGTTTACATTCATATTTCAAAACAGTTCAAATTTGAAGCTGATTAAAGTTCCAAGTTTTCTTAAATAACTTTAACATAAACAATCAAATGTAGGGACCAGGGACGGACGTAAGATTTTAAGTAGGGGCGAATTTAAACTTATAAAATTTCAAGGGGCGAAAATTGATTTTCAATAGAAAATACATAAAAAAAAATACGTAAGATTTTATGTATGTACGGAATTGAAGAATCCTGCGGTAATTATTATGTTCTTCAATAATATTACCTTTTTGAATTTCAAAATGGCTTGACCTCAAAACCAAATTGTTTTATTTTTTACTACAATTCCAGATTAATGGGAAACAATGTGGTGTTACCCCTAGTCAAGACAAAGACGCCCTTTTTCTGGGTAACATATGCAGGACATGGACAAAGGAAGCAGTTTTCTGGGTAACATATGCAGGACATGGACAAAGGAAGCAGTAAGAACATGGACATGGGCCATCTTTGTAATTGATTATAAATAGATAATATGTGTCTTATGTTCGTCATTGACTGTTCCAGTTGAAATTGAAGTTGAAACATTATGGAGTTGACAATGTTGAGGACTGACCATTGGTCGAAGATTGCAACAATAAAGGAATGAATCGAGGCTTTGCTTTCTTGGAATTTGCATCCCGTTCAGATGCGAAGGATGCTTTTAAGCGTCTTCAACGGAGAGAAGTTTTATTTGGGGTTGATAGGCCTGCAAAGGTTTCTTTTGCGGATTCCTTTGTTAACACGTGATGAAATCATGGCACAGGTAATTAGTTATTGTGCCTCACAAACCTTTTGCCACTAACACAAGAGGTTGTTTGCAATGAAACAGTTCTCTTTTCTGCTTTAGGTGATATCAACTATTGGGCTTATTGGACACATAGATGTATTTTATCATAAGAGTTTGATGACTATTATTTCCATATTCAGGTTAGGACCATATTTATCGATTGCCTGCCTCCTTCTTGGGATGAGGATCACGTTCGACAGCTACTGAAGAAGTATGGGGAGATTGAAAAGGTAGAACTTGCCCGGAACATGCCATCTGCTGGCAGGAAGGATTATGGTTTTGTCACATTTGATACTCATGATGCTGCTGTAACTTGTGCTAAGAGCATTAATAACACCGAGTTGGGTGAAGGTGACATCAAGGTTAGTCAATGTTCTTGGTGTACTATGGTGTTTGCATGTAAAATTATTACCTTTTTAAGGTTATTCTTTTATTTTAGGCTAAAGTCAGAGCCAGGTTATCAAGACCACTTCAGAGAGGTTGAGGTAAGCACATTAGCCGTGATGGTTTCAGGTCTGGGAGTGGATCTGGACGAGTGTTTGAGGTTCATGGAGTCGTCCTGATCCACATGGTTTCTCTCCGAGTCGGGCAAGAGGAATTAGTAGTCGTGCCCCTCCACCTAATCTAAAGAGGCCTGTTGGACTAAGAGACAGACGTCCTCTCATGTCTACACCATCTAGAGGCAGACATTTGACACCTCCCTCTTATTGATCCTATGACAGAAGATCACCTGTTATCACACTATTCTGCTTCATGTCTACCTAAATTCTTTAATTGGCTTTATAGATTTCAAATTTCAAACTTCAATTTTTTATAGGTATCCCTTACCAAAAGAGTAGTTTAAAGAGGGAATAAGGTCGATGTGATGAGCTTCCTCCTCCAAGGAGCAGAGGTGTTACAGATTATGATTCTAGGGTTGTCCCTGATAGACGTTCCTCGTACAGAGAATAATATTCTTCTCGCAACTCTGGTTTCTTCGATATTCCTAGAAGCACATATCGTACTGCAGCAAGAAGACCCTATGCAGATGAAGCATATGATCAAAGGTTTGAAAGACCTAGTTACCGTGAGGGGCGTGGCCGTGGTTATGACACTATGTCTACTTCAAAAAGACCATATGCTGTTATGGTTGGTCTTATTGCCCTTTCAAGTGATAATTGGCTTTAGCACATGATTTAACAAATTTCCAAGATGTCCCTCCCCAAGATGTTGATGTGGGTGCAAGGCATTGAAGGGATTGCTTAGATTATGTACTTCCTCGGGGTGCTCCTCCATACGCAGATGCATATGGTGATAGGTTTGTTTTTTTGAAGCTTTCTTGTGTTTATTTTCTTCTTTCAGGAGCTTTATTTATAATTAGTCTTATTGTGATAGGCTTGGGAGATCTAATCTAGGATATGGTGGCAGCAGGAGTTCTATGTCTGGTCAGGATTCACATGGTCTGTATGGCAGTCGTCAGGGCATGGGCTATGGTGGAGGTGTGTTCTAAGTTGCTGCAGATTTATTAAAGAAGAAAAAAGGGTTCCTCTTGGATGAGTGGTCAAGTGTCTACTCATGTTTTCTGGTTTAATAACTTAAATTTTGATATGGTTTTCAGGTTTTTTCAGAAGCAGTGATATTGGAGGAATGTACTCATCCACCGGTTATGGTGGTGATTACATGTCTAGGGAATCAGATGTATGCCCTTTTCCCTTCATTTGTTTAATATTTTAACATACTAGCCTATATTTATGTTCTGTTTCTTCTTCCATGACAGGTTGATGGTAGCTCTTACTCATCCATGTACCCTAGTCATGGTATGGGCGGTAGCAGTTACATGGGTGGTAGGGGTGGTTCTGTTTCATACTACTGATGTAAATCGAATTGTTTTTATCCTATTCCTTTTCATGTTGTACTCACGGTGTGTAATAAAAATCTTTAGCAGTAGTGTGTTTCTAATGGAGAATAGGGCTTCCTGAAGTTGGTTGTCCGTTCTTCTGAGAGGTATATTAGAAAGGTGAATTTGTCTATGGAGCAGATTTCAGAGACAATGAGGCAGCTGTAGGATGTGGAGAATATAAAGTTTTTTGGATTTTGTACCCATGGCATTGGATAGAATCATTCAAATTCTATAGCTTCCGTACGTTGTAGTATTAGGTTTTGAGGCTTTATGTGAAAGAGGAAGTGTGCTGGTGCTGTTTCTAGTTTCACAAACAGGTTATTTGTTGTGCGTATTCAAGTTTTATGGTGTAAGGAAACCTAAACTCATTTAGAGATGAAACAGCCAGTGCTTAGAATATGCTGTGTACAAACAACATTATTTGTTTTGTATTTGAGAATCCTACCAATGGATTATTTGGAAGCATTTATCACATACTCTACCGAGCTTGAGTTTTTGAGGGAGGTTCAAGCTATTAATTAACATTTGGTTATGGATTTTGGAGGCTTGACGTGCTGAACTCATCAGGTAAGTTTGATAAGGTAGGAAAAAGGCATTAATATCTTTACTTAATGGTGATAAGCACAATGAGATCAAATGGTAGATATAACTGAAGGTTGTATGAAATCCGCGGTGGTTGCTCGTGTATGCTTACTTGTATAAGCATGTTGCATTTTCTGAAAATGGTGCTAGCCATATGCAAGCCAGGAGGAAATTGAAGGATTTGCTTAATCTTACCTCTAAAAGCTCTTACATTGTAGACACATACTTTGAACTTTTACTTCGGCTTTGTTTTTCTTTGGGAATTCCTGACTAAGATGCGTGGAATTGATTTTAGTAATGGATATGGTTCTTTAATGCCTGACATGTCTGATTGTTTGGTCAGTGTTGCATTTTTAGTTTTTTTTGGATGATATCATTCTTGAGAATTTACAGTGTGTAATTCCTCATATTTCAGGTTTTGGGAAGTCCTTGGCCTGGTGGAGTATGGTAGGAAAAGATTTGAACTTAAGGATCAGCAGGAAAGTACATGCTTCTGACTGAAGGACCACTTCCTAATATTACAGCATCTGCTTTTCCTTTTCTGTAGTTATTGTTTGAGAAAGCTACTCGTTCGAACAAAAAAGAAAGGTACTCCTCACGCAATTGTGCTCCTCAACTTGAGTTATATGGATCTCGGGGAAATCTTCTGTTTCTTATGAATGAATACATCATCAAATACTTAATATATGGATCTCGGGGAAGTTATTGGTGGATGAAACCCTTATAGCCAGTTGGAAGGAGGCGGTGTTTTACTAATTAGTCTTAGAAGAGAATGATTCTGGAAATGCTGAATTCTAATTGGTTCAGAAATCAATAAAGCTGTGGGTATGTGTGCTGGTGATTTAGAGATTGTTCTTTTAAGAAAGCATACTGGACCACAACCCTTGGTTGGAACTACACTGTGCTACAACGTGTAGAAATCGTCGACTTTTACTAGCTACACTTGAGAATGTGTGAGAATGACTTGCGTTTCTTTCCGACAAAGTATTATAGCAACACAAAAATAAGTTACAATTCCAAGTTTATGCAAGAAAAGCGTGTATGGTCTTTGCAAGACGTTAAAGTCATATCTGCTTGGACTTGTGGTGTTTAGTGATTTTGTTCCATAGGTGGTTTGTTCTATTAACTGGTTATTAGAGTAGGAGCAAAATTGACAGTAGTTTAAGAGGCAATTGGTTGTCTGAGTCTGCCTTCACAGTTAAAATCTTGATTTTTTGTTTTCCCATCTTACTTAAGCTGGTGATGGAGGAAGATAACTGCATAGCTTTATGCTTATGCTTCACGAGTTTGTTGGAAATAATCTTAAGTTTTCAGAAGCAAGGAGTGCCCTTGACATGTTTCCGAAGCAGGGCAGGCACTTGTTTAGCAGCGCAGCGCAGACCCAATGTTGGTGCTAGTTTTTGAAGTTTATTTGTTCTTGGATTCGTAATGTAATCAATCATATTGTTGAATACCGCAATGAATAGCCTAATTATCCCAGTGTTTAGAACCCAAAGTATTAGTTTTGACTCGTTTTAGTACCTAAACTTTTAATTTTTCAAAATCACACTTGAAGTTTAGTTTTTGTTTCATTTTAATACCCCTTGATCAAAATTTAAGGTTAATTTTTGAAAAAAAAATGAAAGTTTAGGCACTAAAACAGACCAAAACTGATACTTAAGGTACTAAACGAGTTAAGTATTTGACGGCGAGGTACTAAAATAAAACAAAAACTAAACTTTAGGTACGGTTTTGAAAAATTAAAAATTTAGGTACTAAATACATAGTTTACTCTAAATTTTATTGTATTGTTCAGCATTTTCAGTTGGGTTTTGCTTTGTATCCGTAATGCACATTCTTTTCTTCGTTGTGATTCATGATTTCCAGCTCTTGCCTGATTGTGCTCCACACTCTGTTTCCTATATCCTTGAGCTGCTGTCAATAAATCATTGTGCTGTCAATATATATATATATATATATATATATATATATATTACAGGTAGTTGGAATCAGAATATTCCTCAGCACTAAAAGCCACAATCATGAACCTAAAGAAACGGGAGACATTGGTAGCCAGACTGTAAAGAAGAAACTCCCATCTGTACATAATACATAAACAATCGTTGATCCTAAACCCCAAACTAAAAGCAAATTAGCCACAACAACCCAAAAGAGAGAAAAGAGAGAGAATGTGCTGGGTTCATTCTACCAGCACAGAATGGCTACACAAGTGAAGTCACTATCATTATCTTTGTATCTACCTACAATTCAGAACTAACACATTAAATCAGACACCTTAAGCAGCTAATTGTTGCTTTTGATGGGAGGAATCTTCTTCATTCAGACATAACTGTACTTTCAGTGACCTTCCAAGGCTTAAAGTGGATTCTGCAACACTTTGAGGATGTTGCAGCATCATCTCTCTTTGCAGGTAGGAGTAGTAAGTATGAAAGGTATTTGGGGTTACATGTAACTTGAAACCCAATCCAAATAGAAAATCTACTTCCAAGAAGTTCATTTCCATTGTGTTGATCCCTCCTACTTTTGCATAGTAAGCATTGTTGTAGTACCTGAAGCCCGAGATAAAGTTGATTTAGGGTCAGTTTAGCATTACATGTAAAAAAGGGAAGAAAACCTGAAGGACTATGTAAAAGAACTTACATGTCGTCCATGAACTTTGCAGCGACCATCACACTCGTAATAAGCAACCGATGAACGTTGAAGGAATTGATCGGAAAAGATGGTTGTCTTTGAGAAAACCGATCGAGATAAACATATGCAACAATGAAACAGGAGGGGCTGCAGTTTGCATACTTGTAAATTCTGTCGAGGTAGTTTTGAATCGAGATGGTTGGCCGACTTAGGCCATGGAACACTGAAATTTTCTGGGCCTCAACCACACAGTTTACATCATTGGATTCAGCCACTTTTTGAAGAAGAGAAGACAGAAAGGTTATGAGATTTGGCATCACATTTGGGTTCTCTAGCTCTGCCATAGCTGAAAAAAGAATTTCGGACCAAAACTATGGTTTTATAAGGTTTTTGTCCTAACACAAAGAAGTGTGGGATTACTAAAGTTCCGAACTTTACCTTTCGAAAGCCAATTGGGAACAAATATAAAGTAAAGGTGGTTCATTTTGTGGGGATTAGTGTCATCTTCCTGACGTTTCCTGTTATTAAAAAACTTGAGGATGGCTACTGTTGTGGTGGTGCATGATGATAGAATTTCCCATGTCCATCATGTTAGTACATGTGGGAAAATTGTTGTTTGTAAATTTGTGGGTCCTATTGTTTGGAGATCTTTATTTCCATGCGTTGTAAAAATCTACAGAGCTGGAAGCTTGTTTTTTTTTTTTGTAGGGTTGTCTGTTTAACTGTCAAATTCTTAATTTAGCATTGCCTGTGGGATTAGACTCCAGAGACTGGCTGGCTGTTTTAGGTGTTGTCCCAACCCATGAGCTGTCCATGTGAGCCCTCTCATACATTGCAAGTCCCACATAATGCTGGTACCACAAATATATTAATACAACTCTTACCTTATGAATATAAAATCGTCCTTTACAATATTTAATGTGTATTAATTGATTAATGACTCAAATATCATCTAATCGTCCTTTACATAGGAAAATGAATCTTTTGGTAAGATTTTTGACATGATTATCGATAAGTTTACACAATCGATTAAAATCAAATATATTGTCAGTTGATTATATTCACTCAATCTGTTAGTTTACAAATAGTTATGATGATCTTAGACCTAACACTGACACTAATTGTCACTATAAAACTTTAAGTCAATTGAAGGAAGAGACTTCTTCTAAAACTAATTTTTAGACTCTTAGAAAATCAGACCGCCTTAAAACGCATGTAACTCCACCATAATTAACCGATTGTGATTTTTTGTCCAAATCAAAAGGAATAAACTGTCTATTATAACCGCTAAAGTCCAAATATTTACCATCAACAGAATCCAAGAAAAATAAGGCCAGCCTGCATGCTATCAAGCGCATGATCCTAACAAATATTATGACCCTTTCTTGGATCTTTTGCACTGAGCTTTCAATTAATAAGGCATCGAGAAGCAAAAGATTTTAGCTATATGTTCCATCTATGTACAAGCCAAAATTGTACTGAAAAGTTAACTAAAGCAGAAGCACATGCAAGGGGGGCCGGCTGCATTTTCGTTTCCTCGAGAATTTATAGGGACAATACTGTTATCACCGACGGGGCTGCATTTGTATTCAGCATTTGGTTTATGTATAGTCACTACGATAAACTGATAGTGCTGGGATTCTTCTAGTCGTAGGTTGATGGCTAATTAGGCAAGAAAAGGCAGATGCGAAGCATGTGGGACTGTGAGCCGATCAATAGAATAATACCGTGGAAGTATGTCAAAGAGAAAGTGAGAGAACCCATAGCTCTAGTTTGATGAGTTTAGGTGATAAGCAAGGAAATCCAACTCAAGAAGGACAAATTTTGATTATAAAGCAAGGAATTCTTTCTTTAAATCATGACCGTGAGAGAGGAAGGCAGATCATACAAAATTGCAACTCCAAGGTTAAAACAATATATAAATTATAGAAGATGAAAGTAGTCCCTTGAGTTCAGAATTTTCTGTGGATGGTCTCCATTGAACAGATCCCAACGAATTCTTTCTTATTGAGTAGATGTATTTAGCCGGAATTGATTAACGGAGGGTGTCCGTGGTATAAATTTTGTTTTGGTGTAAAATTAGCAGGTACTTTGATGATATTATGGCCTATCTCGGTGGCAAGAAATGAGAGGGGCTTCGACAACAAAACAATTAAGGTAAACTATCTAGTAGGCCATAAAATAAATCAAGTACACATGCAGTTCATCAAATGGGGAAAGCATCGCACAGATTTAATGATAATGGTGATGATGGCACTGCCTCTTCCCTAGGCCAAGCTCATGATTGCAAGAACACCCGCCAACACAAGTGAAAAGCCAAGCATCAAGATGGTCGTAGGTGCTGCTCCGCTGTGATGCAGCGGTGGGGATGACGCGGATCCCCTCGGTGGTGTACCTGAAGGAGTTGTCGAACCAGATGGAGGTGACGAAGTGACATTGGCTGCAACAACATTGATGGCTAGCTTCATGCCTGAAGTGCAATGCCCCGATACGGAGCATAGAAAATACATCGACCCGGTCCTGGTCGGAGTAATGATGGTGTTTCCATCACTGTAACTGTGGAGAGCATTTGCACTGCTGCAACGATCGTAGCCACTTTGGGTTACTTCGTCCACCCGGTGGACGCTGCTACGTAGCTAAACACTGTATATATAACATACAAAAAATAGAGATCAAGGATGGTTCGAGAGAGATGCGGACCGTCCTACCTCTAAAAATTTTAAAACTTTTATATAATTTAGATATATATTTTTATATTTTTCATTAATATACTATTTTTAACCTCTTAAAATTTTATAAATTCACCTTCCAAACTAAAATCATCCGTATGTTCCTATTACGTTTGTATTTTCTTATTGTTGTTCTGAAAATGAAACATACATGTGTACGTACGAGTATACATACATATAGCTCTGGTAATTAATAGCAACTTACAGAGTGTATAGCAACTTACAGAGTGTATCGCCTAGAGTGAATATTTTCCCTTGAACCCAAGTAGTGTAGTTTGGACCTAGGGTCCAGCCACTGTTGTCTCCGACGGTGTATTGTACAGTGTAAGCTGCCGGAGTAACCAGCAGGAGGAGGAGGAGGAAAGCAGTTGCTACAGCCATTTATAGAGCTTTATTTACTTATGGGAGGATGGCAATCGAGTTGTTAGCACGCTTCAGTGTTATATACAAAGCACTTGAAAGGATCGGCCAGGCAAAAGTCAATTATGTGCAAAGCGAGTAGCCTTCTTGGCTGCAGATATAACCTATTCCTCTTTTAAGTAAAAAAAAAACATATTATCGGCTTCTATTAAACCCATCATTATATTGAGTTTAGGTGACAATGATGTAGCAACAAACACAAAATAAAACAATACACTACTTACTTGAGTGTTTAAGATATTATTTTGTCAAGTGTTGGTGAGATTCGACCAGGTTTGGCAGTAACTTCAGGTGTGGTTCCGTTTATTTACAACGTTAATTTTATTTGGTTAATAATTAAATTCTGTTATTAGTTGATATTCGGGAAAATATTTGAGTAAGACACTGATTCGAGATGGTGATCGAAGGAAGAAATGGTCAAACACAGAGAGACTCGAGTTATGAGTACAAGCTTAAGAGACATCATTAGAAGGAAATTTTATCAAACTCAAGGCATCGAATGGTACTCAACTTATTATTTTATTTGTATTCATTCCATACAAAAAAAAAGTTATATATATATATATATATATACTCAAAATATTTCTTGTGATGGAGATACACATAAAAGAATGGACTCTGCGAAAGATAAGCTTAACAAACAAAGAATTTGATGTTGTTAATTCTAAGATAGACATGATATATATCCCTAGTTCATTAAATGGGAAAAAATATAGACAGATTTAAGAACAAAAGCAAATAAGCCAATAACAAGACCACTGCCTCTTCCCTAACTCTTAATTGCAAGAACAAAAGCAAATGGGATGGTCGCAACAACATTGACGGCTAGCTTCATGCCTGAAGAACAATGCCCTAGCACAGGGCATACAAAATACATCGTCCCTGTCTTCGACAGAGGAATGATTGAGAGCTTTGAATCTTGTTCTTTTTACTTCTTTCGGTGATCGGGTAATAGGGTAGCCGATTGGGTTGCTAGAGCAACAGTTCTCCCAGGGGGCTGGGTTTTGATCCAGCCTGCTGGATCGCTATCTCTGCTGTAAATGTTTCCTTCGTTTAATGGAAGGTTATGTTCCCCAAAAAAAGAGAGTAAAAAATCCAGATTTGAGAGAGAACACTATTATATTAACTAACAAAAATACATTGTACAAGCCATTCGCATTAACGAGTATGTAGAAATGAATTAGTTCCTCTAATGAGGTTGGTCCCGAGCAAATAGGTTCTAATAAAACTATCGAGTTAAGAAACACAAATCTTACACGCCACCAAAGGCAGAATACTGCATATGAATGAGCTCGCAAATTCATAATTGACCTCGTCTTTAGGAAGAGCAGTGACAAGCCGCTCTGCTGTGTAACAGGCTGACTTCGGATCTGTACCGTTGGAGGCCTTGCATTGGTCGCAGCAGGTTGGCTTGTCATTCTGCATTAAGAGGCAGGCCACGTCAAAGAGTGAGCTGAACACACTAAATTAACTGACAATCAATAGTAACCATGATTCTGTCATAAATTTCGTTGCAATGAGTTTGTGTTGTTGGCCTGAAGTTTTTTTTTCCCCTATAAGATTGCGTAATTGGACATGCCGCCAGTCAACTATACATAATTTTAGAACTGCGTAACTTTTCGGTTGCCACCAGCGACTTTTTTGGCATTATTTTCATAGTACGTGCTACGGCTAAACCTAATTGAAGAAAAAGGCTGTAAGGTACCTATCCTTAATGGAGGCAGCCATGCCCATGAAAGCTTGTTCGACATTAGTGGCATCTTTTGCACTGGTTTCCAAAAAAGGTATGCCGATTTCATCTGCAAACGCCTAAAAGAAGAAAGCAGCAATATTTAAGAAGGGAATCAGGAATAGAACGAAGAAAGCAATAAAACGCCAACAATCACAATTTGATAATCACACAGCTCTTCCCTGATAACCTGCAAGGTTCTACACAAAGGAGACAACTTTATGCTATATATTTCAAATTGGAAAATACCTTGGCTGTTTCGTAGGACACAACTCTATTTTCTGTAAGATCACACTTGTTTCCAACCAGTATTTTGTTAACATTATCACTAGCGTTGCGATCAATTTCACTCAGCCACTGCTTGACATTGTTGAAGCTTTCTAGGTCTGTCACGTCAGAAACGATCTTACAGAGGAGCCGGCAGTGAAAAGGAAAGAAAAATATTATATTAAAAAAGGTTTATAAGTAGCATAAAAAGGAAAAAATAAATGGAGAAAGTCTAGAAAAGAGAATATCACTCACTATGATGCCATGGGCCCCACGATAGTAGCTACTAGTGATTGTCCTGAATCTTTCTTGTCCGGCAGTGTCCCACTGCTCATTGAACCAAGAACAAACAAACAAACTAATTAGTTATCATCAAAAAAACCAAAATGACAAGAAATCAAGAGTCAAGATTTACAAGTAACTTAGTAGGATTAAATTATAAAATGAAAATATATAAATGGAAAAGGTAGCAGCCAAAGAAGATGATAAAAAAAAGCTCATTCTCTCTTTACTCGACACTTCATTTCTCATCAAGTATCCGTGTCCAACACGCAAATATTGGAATATGACCACCAAGAATCCACCAAGAAAATTTTCAAAGCAACTAATTACAGAAAAAAGAATGTAAGAACGTACGATTTGAAGTTAGATGGTTTTCCCGTCCTGCTCCACAGTACGTATTTTCTACCAAAAAAAAGAAAAATGAATCAACAAGAAAATAGAATAATTGCTATAATTTTAGTCATTTAAAGGTCAAGTTAACACCAAGGACTGATTACTTACAAAATCGACCCCAATGGTGCTTATGTAACTTTCTACATATGAATCATCCTGCATTAAAAGAAAAAAATCCGGTTTGAGATTTAGATCTGCATAACCATATGGAAATATCCACAATTCCACTTTGCTTTATACCTCAAATATACAACCGAAAACAGTGACAAGATTCCAAATCCAAAACTGCCTACGTCCCAACTCATGAAATACAAATTTTACTTTCTCAACACGTCATATGCCCTTATGCAGTGGAACTTTTTAACCAATCATTATCACAATCCAACGAAACACATGAATATAAACATTCAAGGCAACCATATAAGCATGTAAGAACGTGTGACAAGGCAAATGAATTTCTACAAGTTAGACATTTACATTCAAATTTCAACTTAAGTCAAGAAACTTACAGCAAATCTCAAAAGAAGACAAGATTTTCCAACACCAGAATCTCCTATAAGCAGAAGCTTGAAGAGAGAGTCACTGCAAAAGATAGCAACCAGATAATATCAACACCTGTTTCAATGATGCAAGAACATAATATCTCCAGCTCAGAAAATGTCGGAAAACCAAATTAACCGCCAAAATATGAACCCTTAGAATTGTAGTAACCGGTTTTTGTCCGGGCACGAAATATTTATTTGGCGGGAAAAGTGATGTGAATAAATGGTTTTTTTTTAAAAATAATTTCGGAGTCGCCATCGGCCTTTTGGATCAGGTAGGTCGAGTACCTAAAAATCATCCTTTAAAAGAGTTTTTAACAAAACATCGATTAAAAGATAAACTGAACTGCGTTTTAACAAAAATTTCATTCTTTTTAATAATAAAAAAGGATCCGTGGTCGGTTACGTTTAGGGAATGATTAGCACCCTACAACGCCCAAAATTGATACTTTTTAATTATATATTGTCTATATTATTAGAAATTTATGAATTCAAAGATATATTTAATTTATAATCCTATTATTTCAAAATTATAATTATGAAAAAATATTAATTTATATATATTTATAAATAAAATATTTATTTATTCAGAAATACCAGAAAAGGATTTCTAGGTGCCTTAAGACAGCTCTTTTCTTTGATATTAATAAATAATTAATTATAAAATAGGATATTTAGTAAAAATATCAGAAAACAGACTTCTAGGTGCTTTAAGACAGTCCTTTTCTTAAAAATAAATATATATTAAAATATGATTATTAAAAGTGATTTATGAAATATAGGATTTTAACAAATAAACAAATGTTATTTATTATATATATATATATATATATATATATATTTATATAAATAAAAATAATGAAATAATAATTAAAAACAATAATAATAATAAAATAATATTGCAAATAATGATTAAAATAAAAGGAAATAAAAATATATTATTAAAAAATATCATAGTCAAAAATAAAAATTAATGATTAAAATGTAAAATTATAAAACTAGAGTCCTAATTCGAAATATTATAAAACTTGAGTGCTAATAGTGTGATTTAACCTATATTAATTATTAGGGATTGAAATATTAAATATAAAAATATGAGGGACTAAATATGATATTTATTCTAAATATATATAAAATTACTGTTAAGGACTAAAATACATATATGTGAAATTCAAAACCCGAATTAAAAGAATTTAAAAATTGATTTAGTGACTAAAATATAAAGTTATAAAACTGATGGACTGCGGATGGGGTTTACCCATATGTGAAATTACACAGATACCCTCACCAAAACGTCATCGTTTTGATGAGGGTATTTATACCCATTTAAGCCGGGCCCCAAGGGCCATTATTTCATTTCTCTGATTTTGCTTCTCTCTCTTTAGAGAGAGAAGCTCTCGTTTTCTCTCACCGGAAGAGAAAACCGACCTCCGTTTCCGGCGCCGATTGCCACCGCCGGCCACCGCTCACGGTGACCGGAACTCCTAAACTACCCTAGAGCATAGATCTCGACCTTCTAAAGCCGAATATGGCCTCCGTTTGTCCTAAAAATCCCAGGAATTTTCTAGATCTAAGAAAATACCTTTGGTATTTTCACTGTTCGACAACGGTTTGGAGGGATCCGATGGTCGTGGCTTCCTCGGTAAGTTTCTCTCCTTTCTTTTCTTTCAATATTTGACTGCTTTGGGTGGTTGTTTGCCGTTGGTCTCTGGCTTTTTGGTTGATGTTCGTATCTCTCTCTTTGTTCT